TCTGTAAGGATTCTCCAGACAAAGGAAGAAAGGTGATCAGAAGGATCGGAGGATGAGGAAGGAGGAAAGGGAGAGAGTTGTGCGATTCCCAGGGATCTCTGGTATCTCAGGGACAACCCCCCTGGGGGCAGAGGTTTGGGGAAATCGAGGGAGGGCCGGAAGTGAGGGTGCGCACAGAGGGCGACCCAGGTTTGGGAGGAAAGATAGGTTAGGAAAGAGTGAGGAGCTGGGAAAAGAATGGTTGGTGTGTGAGAAAGGTCCTGGCATGGGGTCCTCAGGATGAGAAAAGGGAGTGAGAATATTTTAGCAGTGAATTAAGTATGGGGCGTGGAAGAGGGTGAGCGATACCTAGACCTGCTTAGAGGTGGGCTACAGCAGAACCGAGAGGAAGCAGGGCGTGCGGGAGGCTTTTGCCACAGAATGCCACCAGTAGGTAGCCTTGGGAAACTGGGCACCGTGGAGGACCGGGGCGGGGGTGGAGGGCATGTAGAACCCGGTTTTCAGTAGGGAGGCACTAGGGGGCCGCGGCCTGGAGGCAGCAGCGGGCTTTGGGGCGCTCTTACCCGCAATTCCTATTCCCCCGTGTCGCCCCCGCTCTGCCGCCCGTATCGCTCGCAACCACACTCGTGGGTCCCCTCCTCGAAGGAGACACGCTCCCACTGGCTGCCAGACAACCCCTAACCCCAACCCGAGCCGCTCCTAATTTGGGGTCCGCCCGGCCCCTCCATTTGCATATAGGTCTTTCCAGGCCTTCGATTGGCCCCTTCGGTAGTTGGCATGCCCCCCGCCTCCAGAATCCAGTTAACCGCTCGGAGAGAGAAGCGCCCGAGGTCGTCCCGGGAGACGCAGAGGACGCTGAGACGCGGACCGCGCTCCCGCCGCGCGAGGCGCAACTACCGCTTGCCCTCCGCGGGTCCCCGCCTTACCGGATCCGCCCAGCCCTCCCCGGTCCGCCCCGCCCCCGGGTCCTCGGCGGATCCGGCCCGCGCCGTCTGGGCGTCGTGCGCAGGCGCGGCTTGAACGTCGGGGGGCCAGAGCGAATCAGAACGCCTGATTGTGGAGCTCCAGCGGCGATTGTCGGTCCGAGCGAGGGGCGCCTTGGCCCTTAGGCACTCTGTAGAGGGTAAACATCCACTGCCGGGAGCAGGGAACACCGTGCAGAGAGGGCTAGATTGAAACCCAAGTCGAGATCTCAGGTTGCCTGTGTAACCTCGGACAGCCGACGTGCCCTGAGACTTAGCTTCTTTAGCAGTAAAATGGGTATCACAAGCCTGTGACGAACCGCTCAGGCTTATTGAATCACGATACCTCAGAGGGTGGGAGGGTCCTAACCCCGCCACTGAACTGGCCAATAGGAAAGAGCTGCCCAGGGCTCAGGGGTTTTGACTTCTCAAAACAACACCTTGACTATTCTCAGGTGGAGAATCAGAGTTGTGACTGGATTCAAATAATTGTGGTTCCCTAAAGTTTCCACCTGTCTGAGCTTAGAGTCCTGCCTGGAAAGGATTGGCAGCCAGTGAAAAATCGGACACAACTGAGCGACTAAGCACAGCACAGAGCAGTTTTTGCCTGGGTTGATTCAGATTGGTGAAAGATTGAACAAAGGATTGATTTTAAGTCTTGAACCAGAGCGATTTTGAGAAGCTCCCTTACGGATTGAACCGAGGAGGGATATACATCCCTCTTCGTTCTTGAAATCTTTCCAGATGCTTGACTTGATGCCACTGAAATATAGCTGCTCCTGTGAAAAAAGATCGTTTAGTCCCAAGGAGTAAGATTTATGTAAGACTGGGATCATTTCTTTTCCAGCAATTGAGGGGAGACATGTAAGAAGGAGAAGGCCCCCTAAGAAAACCTGTAGTCAAAACAGCTAAGGGAAAAGACAAAATCCACATCTGTGATGTGAAGCAAGCTAAAGTTAGTCTAGGAGCTAAGTTTCAGCAGGTTCACTGGGAACTTTGTGCCCAGGATTTTGTCCCATGCTGTGATAGAATACTGGAGAAACAGCAGGTGAATAGACTTTAAAAAAAAAAAAACCTTCAGGAGAATTTTTACTTTAAGGTGGAAATATTTGGGCTACAGCCGATGCAGAAAGAAATCCTATTTGAACTTCCCTGATATAAATAAACCAGAGTTTTCCAAACACCAGTGGTCACAACCTGGCAACCCCCTCCACCCATCCAGGAAGATCTCCAGTCAGGCAGGCATCACCCAGCCATTTAGAATGTCCCATTTTCTTGGACATTCCAAAAAATTGTGTAAACAAGTCTCATCCTGTGAATGAGACTTCCATCCTGTGAATCCCTCAACACCCCCACTCTTATTAAACTGATGTATAAACCTTAATCCCTAGCTATTTGGGGTAGTTACTCACTCCTGAATGCTCTGGTGTATATAAAAAACTTTGTTACCTTTCAGACCTAAATTGGTAGAGGAAAGGTTTTCCTGCCAACACAGGGCACCGCCCCTTTACCTGCTGATCTGCTGAAGGAGGAGGCTAGAGGCAAAGGCATAGCTTAACCTGAAGCAGACACTAAAATCCTGCTACTTGGTGCATAAATTCACACTGGAGGGCCCGAGGTACACCCTTCCAGAAACCTCTCTGCCATCCTGTTCTCTTCCCTCTTCCCATCAGGTGGCCCTAGGCCATCTTGCCCTTCCCCCTCTCCAGGGCCTTGGGGATCCAGGTGACCATCATCAACTGGCCACCCAACAGATGCTTCCCTAAGACCAACTGTCCCAGCTCTGTTCCCCTCCCCCATCCCGCCTCTTTCTTTCCCCAGTGTCCTACCAATCTGCTCTGGCAAGCTCATGCTTTGGTCTCTGGTCCCTCTGGAGTAATATTGTGATGGAAATGAGAGAGAGGATGCAGGAGGGAGCCACAAAGATTTACAGCTTCCAGAGGGCTTCCATTAAAATCCCTGACAACGGGTTATTTATGAGAGGGTTGGCCGCAGTGGGAGCTAATAGGCCAGAGCCTGGCACTGCTGTCCTTTCAGGGGTAATGACAGGAACAAACACAGGGTGAACAGTTGAGCTGCCCCCACGATAGAGCAAAGCAGGGTTCAGCCCCCTCAGGCATCCCCTCCAGGGCCAGAGAGTGACAGCCAGGAAATCCGAGAGCATCAGCGGTTTGTAGCAGACAAACCAGAAACAGGAAAACCCACATGACAAACACTGGGGTTTTCTGAGCTTAGGTGTGAAGGTTAAAGCAGTGTGTTAGAGGGTCCTTGCAGTCCTCTCAAAAAATGTAAACTGTGTCCCCTCCTCTGAGCTCCAACTAAGAAGCAAGAGTGTGTGAAAAAATACAGGTCTGAAGCTGTTGTTTTCACTGTCTTTTTGTTCCTAAGGCACCCACCTGACTAAATAAAGAAAAGACAATAACAGAACCCTCAGAAGTTTATTCACAGTTGACACACACTGTTTCCCAGTTTGAGACACTTCCTTTAATTAAAGAAAAAAGAGAGTCCTGCTTTTGGTCCCCTGACCCAAGATCCAGCCTAGAAGCCCTTTCTTCTTGTGCCAATCAAAAGAAAGTACTGGTGTATGTATCAGGGATGAAGTAGGAAATAGAAATGATGCAATGTATTAGGAAATATTATAGAGGTATGTCCAATCACAGAATCAGAAGTCTTGTTAAATCAGAAGAGATCTTAAAGATTCTCCTGGTATTTCTCTTGTTAGCAGATGAGGAAAATTGAGGCCCGGAAGAATATGATGCCTTGGCCAAGGTCATGCAGGGTTTCATAGAGAACTTCTCCTTCCTTCGCACACTTTTTAGTACTGTTATTGGTGAAACAGAAACAGAAATTGCTGTCTAGCACCTCTTCTGAGGTCTTCCGTTTTGGTGTGTATCTGATAGGGCTCAGAGAGGCCCAGGGAATAGGGCTGCTTGCCCGGGAGCAATGGAGCTTCCAGTTTCTGTTTTTATTTTGTCCTTTTTCATCTTCCCTCTGCCTTCTGGGGGAAACAGCTTTCCCTGAAAGGAGCTACTATTCCTGATTGTTTTGATTTTTTTTTTTTTTTTGGTGCAGATGCTTTTAGAAACAAATTCCATAGAAAGTGGCCCTGACTGCAGGGGAAATAATAGGCACATTACTTGAACACTTTATGTGTGCAGGGCAGCTTGCTGGGTACCTTGGAGACACCAGACGCACGTACTTATCAGTGCACTAAAGTGAAGTCGCTCAGTTGTGTCCAACTGCATGGACTGTAGCCTGCCAGGCTCCTCTGTTCATGGAATTTTCCAGGCAAGGATACTGGAGTGGGTTGCCATTTCCTTCAGGGGATGTTCCCGACCCAGGGATCAAACCTGGGTCTCCCACACTGAAGGCACTACATGTAGCAAAAGGATCCTCTATAGTCAGAGTTGCCTTTTTATTTTCTTTCAAATTGGAATACTCATTTCCCACTAATACTTCTTTTATAGACTCCATACTGTGTACCCATGTATGTGTGTGAAATGAGTATATAGTATGGAGTCCTTTCACCTACACATTGGTATCATTTTATATGGTAAAAATAGTAATGAGGGACTTCCCTGGTGATCCAGTGGTTAAGAATCCACCTTCCAATGCAGGGGACACAAGTTCCATCCCTGGTCAAGGAAGTAAGATCCTACATACCACAGAGCAACTAAGCCTCTGTGCCACAACTAGAGAACCCACATCCTGCAACTACTGAAGCTCACATGCTCTGGAGCCCTTGAAACATTGTTACTGAGCCTGCTCACCGCAACTAGAGTCCATATATGGCAACAAAAGAGTCCACATGAGGCTACGAAGATCCAGGATGCAGCAACTAAGACCTGACAAAGCCAAATAAATAAATAAATACTTCTTTATTTTAAAAAATAGTAATGATAGTCAAATTCCAGAATTAAAAAAAAAAAGAATTTCAAAAGGAGTTAAGCAAATGCAGAATCTTTGCTTTTTAAAAGTGGTTTAGGGAATCCCCTGGTAGTCCAGTGGTTAGGACGCCATGCTTCCGCTGCAGGGGTGTTGGGTTCAATCCTTGGTTGAGGAACTAAGATCCTGTATGCTGCACAGCATGGTCAAATAACAACAATAATAAATAAAGGTTGAATAACTTAAATATTCAATTCTTAGAGAATGGGGAAGAAAGCTTATGTAACAACAACCAAAAAAAACTCCCAATCATTATGAAGTTTTATAGCAGTATACAAAAATTTTTTACCTGATATAGTAAGTGAAAAAAAATTTATAGACTGTGACTACAATTATGTCAAATATGTATTTGTATGCATTAAAAATATTAAGAAAATGTTCACCAAAAAAGGTAAAACCATGATTCACACAGGTATAAAAGTGAATTTGAACTCGTGTTAAAGATTTTATTTAGCTCATTCAGTGAAGATAGATGGTTCAGCTAGTTCAAAAAAAGCAGCACAATTTGTCTGATGAAAAGAATTGCCAGTGCAAATAATCAATAACCAAACTATGATAGGAATAGAAAAGAGTTATATTTGAGCCAACCAAGAGACAGATAACTCTGAGAAAATTCTCAGATAACTCTGAGGAACTTCTCTGGAGAAACACAGTTTTATATCTTATCAGATCAAAAAAACATCAAACAAATCAGGGATACATTCCTTCAAGGTTTTTTTTTTTAAAAACAACAATGAATATCAGCATGCACACAGCAAATCAGTATGACCTTGGCACCTGGGAAGGGAATCTTCTCATCAAAGGAGTACCAGCACCGGTGTTCCAGGGACTTTACCTTTATTTATTCATTTATTTTTTCATTTATTTTTATTAGTTGGAGGCTAATTACTTTACAATATTGTAGTGGTTTTTGCCATACACTGACATGGATCAGCCATGGATTTACATGTGTTCCCCATCCTGAACCCCCCTCCCACCTCCCTCCCCATCCCATCCCTCTGGGTCATCCCAGTGCACCAGCCCCAAGCACTTGACCTTTAACATGTGCTGTGCTTAGTCGCTCAGTCGTATCTGACTCTTTGCGACCTCATGGACTGTAGCCTACCAGGCTCCTCTAGGAAAAGAATAATAATACATACTATGACAATATATCAGATAATTGTCTATGAAGCAAAGTAGAAAAATTGACTATTCCTGGGCGGAGCCAATTAGACAGATCATTTATAAAGTCAGTTTTTCTTGCATCTTATAACCATTTTGCCTTTGTGGGAAAGACTGCTGAGAACCTAGGAGTTTCTAAATTCTGGAGGGATCAGGTAAAAAGAAAAGTGATTTAATTCTGCTTCAATTCAGTTCAGTTCAGTTCAGTTCAGTCGCTCAGTCGTGTCCGACTCTCTGTGACCCTGTAGACTGCAGCACACCAGGCTTCCCTGTCCATCACCAACTCCTGGAGCTTGCTCAAACTCATGTCCGTCAAGTCGGTGATGCCATCCAACCATCTCATCCTCTGTTGTCCCCTTCTCCTCCTGCCTTTCCCAGATTCAGGGTCTTTACCAATGAGTCAGTTCTTTGCATCAGGTGGCCAAAGTATTGGAGCTTCAGCTTCAGCATCAGTCCTTCCAATGAATATTTAGGACTGATTTCCTTTAGGATTGACTGGTTTGATCTCCTTGCAATCCAAGGGACTCTTAAGAGTCTGCTCCAACATCACAGTTAAAAAGCACCAATTCGGGCGATGCTTTAAAGCCCCGATTCTGGCCCCGGCTGGTCAGTCAGTCAGGCTGTGTTATTCGACAGGACCATTTACATTTCAGGACAGCTAGGCATGGGCCCTGCAAGTGGACAGCTTGTGCCAGGAGGGGTGGCAGAAGAGGCTAAACAGGCTCTTACAAACATAGTTGAGATTCTGAGAGCAGCAGGCTGTGACATCACGAATGTGGTAAAAGCAACTGTTTTGCTGGCTGACATAAATGACTTCAGTACTGTCAACGATGTCTACAAACAATATTTCCAGAGGAGTTTTTCTGCACGAGCTGCTTACCAGGTTGCTGCTTTGCCCAAAGGAGGCTGTGTTGAGATCGAAGCAATAGCTGTGCAAGGACCTCTCACGACAGCATCACTCTAAGTGGGCCAAGTGTTATTTAGTTTGGAAATTTAATAGTATTTTTAAACTAATGGCTTAATCGGTTGAAGTATCTGGAGATATTATGGAAATACCATATAATAAGGAGAACAACATGAATTGAAGATTAATGATGAATCTAGTTACTAATGTTATAAATTACACTTCTATAACACTTGTATTGCTGGATGTGGGAAAACAGATATGCCTTACTTAGTTAACTCAGAAGAATAAAAGTAGAAGGAAATAACATGTAGGAAAGATGAGCTACTATTCCTAAGAAATAAGAAAGAGCACACCTAATTCAACTAAACCCTATTAATTTAATGATGTGAAGTATTTTATCATGTCAGATATGTGATTTTTACTGGAATAAAATTAAAGCATTTAAATTTGAATGGCAGAGATAAAGGAAAAGAAACTGGACCAAATTTTATATAGATAATATTTTTCTAGTGGAAATAAAATAGCATGAAGATTTTCCTTGGTGTTATTCCATTCACTGATTTTTTTAACAGTTTAATGTGTACATTAAATTACATTACCTAAATAAAGGTGAAGAAACTATGAAGTTTAAAAAAAAAAAAAGCACCAATTCTTCAGTGCTAAGCCTTCTTTATGGTTCAACTCTCACATCCATACATGAATTCTGCTTATAAAGGTATAATTTACCAAATTGCTATAAGCCATAATTAGTTTAAGGAGAAAAGTTGCCTCATCTCTGGAAAACAAAGATTAGAAGTCAGCAGTATTTCAGACAAAAAGTCACAAAAATCATAATCATATTTACCAATTAGTCAAATCCCATGTAGCTGATTTTTGTCCTGCTTGAGTTTAGTTTTTCCTTTAGTTTTGTTGAACTTGTCTGGTGATTGAGGATGATAGTGAAAGTAATAATTTTAAGAAGTTTGTGAGTTTTTTTTTTAAGACTCCTACGTTGGAAATTCTCTGGCAATCCAGTGGTTAGGGCTCTCTGCTTCCACTACAAGGGGCACGGATTAGATCCCTGGTCAGGGAACTGAGATCTTGCAAGCTGTGCAACACAGTCAAAAATAAATAAACAGAATAAAAAAGAAGACAACTATGATTTTCCCAGTGAAGTAGGTGCCTTGATCGCTGGAAAAAGCATACTCCACATGGAAAATACATTTTCTAACAGTTTCTTTGTCACTAAAAGGATGTCAGCCTTGCAGCAAGGGAAGAGTTTAACCCATCAAGCAAAAATGGGGCTTGCCAGAGAAGCAAGAAGAGCCGAGCAGCTGTATTGGGTTTCCCATAGCCTCAGTTGTTTAGCTTACAGCTATTGTTTACCCATCTTAATTTCTCTGATTTGGGAGCAGACTGTTGTCATGTTCCAAGGACATCAGGACGGCAAAAGTTCGACAGTGAAGGGTTCATTTTTATGAAGGTAGAATGGACTTTATCTATAGTGCCGTAACCTTTACAGATTCTATTGTCTTCGCCTTTGTGTGAAAGTCATTTCCCTAATACTTGGGTTCAGTCCCTTTAGTGCAAGCCTTAGTTCTGACGACAAATGGCATTTGAAAAAGCTTTTGATTTAACTGTCAAATCTGAATGAGCTCCTTGCTGGGTAGAGTATTCTTGGTTGTAGTTTCTTCCCTTTCATCACTTTAAATGTATCATGCCATTCCCTTCTGGTTTGTAGAGTTTCTGCTGAGAAACCAACTGATAAACTCATGGGAGTTCCCTTATATGTTATTTGTCATTTTTCCCTTGTTGCTTTTAATATTTTACCTTTGTCTTTGATTTCTGTCGGTTTGATTACTAGGTGTATCTCAGTGTGGTCCTCCTTGGGTTTATCCTGCCTGGGATTCTCTGTACTTCCTGAGCTTAGCTGACTACTTCCTTTCCTATGTTAGAGAAATTTTCAGCTATTATCTCTTCAAATATCTCTTCTCAGGTCGTATCTCTCTCTCTTCTTCTAGGATCCCTGTAATGCAAATGTTGGCATGTCCCAGAGGTCTCTTAGGTTGTCTTCATTTTTTTTCATTCTTTTTTCCATATTCTGTCTGGCAGCAGTGATTTCCACCATTCTCTCTTCCAGGTTACCTTTCCAATCTTCTGCCTTATTCTGCCATTGATTCCTTCTAGTGTATTGTTCATCTCCATATGTTTGTTTTTTAGTTCTTCTGGGTCTTTGGCAAATATTTCTTGCATCGTCTCCATTCTTTTCCTGAGATCCTAGATCATCTTCACAATCATTATTCTGAATTCTTTTTCTGGAAGGTTGCCTGTTTCCACTTCATTTAGTTGTTTTTCAGATTTTATCTTGTCCCTTCATCTGGGACCTAACCTTCTGCTTTTTCATTCTGATTAACTTTCTGTGTTGTGGTTTTTGTTCTAGTTGCTGCGGGATTGTGGTTCTTCTTGCTTCTTTTGTCTGCCCTCTGATGGAGGAGGCTAAGAGGCTTGTGTAAGCTTCTTGATGGGAGGGACTGGCGGAGGGAAAAACTGGGTGTTGCTCTTATCTGCTGATGGGTGGGGTTATGCTCCCTCACTGTTAATTGTTTTGCCTTAGGTGACCCAGCCCTGGGGTCTAACAGGCTCTGTGGTAGAGTTAATGGAGATCTCCAGGAGGACTTAGACCAAGGGGCACCTTCCAGGACTACTGCTCCAGTGCCCCCATCCCCAAGGAGAGTCATTGCTGACCCACACCTCCACAGAAGACCCTCCAACACCAGCAAGTATATCTGGTTCAGTCTCCTGTGGGGTCACTACTCATTTCCCCTGGGTCTTGGTGAGCTCAAGATTTTGTCTGTGCCTTCCAAAAATGAAGTCTGTTTCCCTTAGTCCTGTGGAAGTCTTGTAATTAAATCCTGCTGTCCTTCAAAGTCAGATTCCCTGGGGATCCCAGTCCCTTTGCTGGATCTCCAGAGGCTGGAAAGCCTGATGTGGGGGTCAGAACCTTCACAACAGTGGGAGAACTTCTTTGGTATTATTGTTCTCCAGTTTGTGGGTCACCCACCTGGCAGGCATATGGGATTTGATTTTATCATGACTGTGCCCCTCTTACCATCCTGTTGAGGCTTCTGCTTTGTATTTGGATTGGGGGTATATTTTTTGGTAGTTCCCCGCATCCTCCTGACAATGGTTGTTCAACAGCTAATTGTGATTTTGGTGCTCTGGCACCAAAGTAGAAAGCACATACCCTTCTACTCTGCCACCTTGGAGGTTAGTTTTTTGTTACATTTAGAAATATTTGATTTGTAGGTGCTTATGCTTAAGTCAAGTAAATAGAGCTCTTTTATAAATTAGATAATATCATTTGGAGATAGAAACATATCATATTTATAACACACAAAGAGATACACATACATCCAGATAGACACACAGAAAGATCTCAGAGTGTTCTTGCTTAACAGGCTTCTTCCCTCTCCCACCTTCTTTTTTCAATTTTAGGTTCTACTAATTGAACCAAGGGGGCTCTCCTGGTGGCTCAGATGTTAAAGAATCTGCTTTCAATACAGGAGACCCAGGTTTGATCTCTGGGTTGGGAAGATGCCCTGGAGAAGGGAATGTCTACCCAATATTCTTGCCTGGAGAATTCTGTGGACAGAGGAGCCTGACAGGCTACAGTCTATACAGTCCATAGGGTCGCAAAGAGTCGGACACAACTGAGCGACTCACACACACACTTAAGTATTTGCAAGTACTGGCTCCACATCACTTATACATGAAGCCAACAGTTCAGTGGGTGGCTGTCTGTCCATGAGTTGATAAGCTTTAGAAGCATAGTTTTCATTTTTTTTAAAGTTTAATTTTACTATAACATATACATCTTTCCAATTTTAAGCCACACTTTTTTTAAAAAAAGCTCAGCCAACCTAGTTCATTCCAAAATTTCTTTTAGGTCTTTCCTGCCTAGAAATTCCCCCTTGGTCCCTGCCTAGGAATTTCCCCCAGGTCTTCTGTCTAAGAATTCTCCCCAGGTTCCTTTCATGTAGGAAATGAACTGTTACCCCCTTAAGACTACAGATCTTAAGATAACAGCTCAAATAAAAGTCATGGACTATCATTTAATAAAAGGATATCCAGATATCAGGGAAAATTCACCAAAGCATCTGAAGAGTGCTGTGAGGCAGAGGTGGGGCGGGGATGGGGGTCTTCAAGGGGCTTGGTACCAAGCACCAGCCCGAAGTAGGATACAGGTGACCTCAGGCCAGCTTTTCTGATATCCTGCCAACTACCCCCAAGCATTGTCAATGTAAATAATTAATAACCAAACTGTAATAGGAATAGAAAAGAGTTATAGTTTAGCCAAATTGAGGACTATAACACAGGACACAGCCACTCAGATAACTCTGAAGAACTGCTCTGGAGAAGCATGGTTTTCCATACACTTTTATATCTTGTCAGAACAAAGAATATCAAACAAATCATCAGGGATATGTTCCTTCAACTTTTCAAAAAAAAAAAGCAGATCAGCATATACACAGCAAGTTGGTATGGTCTTGACACCTGGGAAGGTTGACTCCTCGAGGAGTCAACACCTCGAAGGAGTTCAAGCACTGGTGTCCTAGGAAGGGAGGCATTTAATTTTTATGGATATTTTAAACTTCTGGTCTCTATACCATTTGCTTTGATGGCAAAACAGATATATAATATACATTTGATAGGCCACAAACAGCATAAAATTTAAGTTAAATCATCTAGCAGAACAATCTCCCCATACCTCCATATGTGAAAATTTCTTCCATTAGAAATATTGAAAGGAGTTGCAAGCTGAGGCAAAACTGATTTTTTTCCCACAAGAAAAGGAGGGAAAACAATCAAACCTCTATCAGACAAGTCAAAATCACCTGTCCACAAATTACTTACAATTTACAGAATTGTGAAATAATTTCTATTGAATCGATTTGAATCAGCTAATTAAAGGACAGACACATTTTTCTCTATAGATGGCAGTCTTGAAAACATGAGTGGAATTACAGAAATTTTTTTTTGTTTACTTAATGTACTTTTAAAACACAAATATATGCCTCCCAAATGTTTAACAGGACATTCCAAAACACTCTTAAATATTAGCATCCCCTGAAGTTCTAAGTAGGTGATTGGTTTGCCAGCACATTTTAGAAACACCTGATTAATGTGAGGCATGGCTGGTTCTGGTTTCGCTTGAAGTTTATGAAACACCACATTTGACATAATTTTTAGTTGCCTTCTTGCCATTGATTACTCCTTCTCTTTCTCAGACCTGGGCATACAAGCTATCTCTACATTGTAAGTTATCAAACTGTAGAGTCCCTAGATGGTTACAGAGATAGCAAGCTTCAGGGATAAAATTCCTCTTACCTTCCTTTTCCATGGAGTTGACAGTCCAAAGGCCAGAGGAGTCACTGGTTTCTGGGCAGGACTAGAGCTGAGGGTGAAGGTGAAAGCAGTAGTAGCTAGTTGGGCACCTTCTCTGAGGTTGCCTCTGCTTCTACTTTCCAAAGTCCACAGCCCTGTCACCTAGCTCCAGCAGATCTTCACTAGCTGGGACAGTGGTCACATAAACCTAGTTAAATTTACATTAAATAAAAATCCGGTTCGCAGTTGTAATAGCCATATTTCAAGCGTTCTGTGGGTGATGTACATGTGGTAAGTGGCTCCTGGACCCAATAGCACAGATAGCGGACATTTCTATCATTACAGAGAATTCTGGTAAAGGCACTACTGCAGATGGCCACTCCCTCCCTCCATCTCAAATTCCCCTCCCATCCCTTTTTCTGCCTGCCACATTTGTTATTCACATAAATCAAGCATCTGACAAACACTCTCTCTTTGACCAAACTCTGCTTAGGTTCCTCTGAGCCCTTTTCTCAACTTGGCCTCAAACTTGGGCTTCTGTGTCTATCCTTGGCAAGTTCAGTTTCAGCAAAAACCCTAAGTTGATTCAGAAAGAATCCTCCACCCTGATATCTATCAGTTCCTAGCCTGACCTCGGCAAAAATCCTATTAAGTCAGTTGAGCAAGAAGCCTCATTACCCTTGGTATCGAGTCCTTTTAGTAGTTTTGCATCTACTCACCCCCCACTCTGCTTAATTGCTATGAATTCCTATGTGTCCTTATTGTATTTGGAGTTGAGTGCAATCTCTCTCCCCTGTTGCAATGTTTCTATTGTAATAGCTCTGAATAAAGTCTTGTTATCATTTTAACAGGCTTCAGAATAACTTTTTCTTTAACACTTCTTTGAAAGCTTCCTTCTTGGCCCTAGGAAAAGTCAATTTTGTTTTAGCACCATAACAGTTCTCCTAAAGCCAATATCATGGTATTAAACTCATTTATGTGTTTGTTTGTCTTCCCTTACAGATTACTGAACTCTCATGAAAAATACAGTGAGTATAGTGATTGAGTACACTGGAATCAGAATGCTGGGTTCAAAGCCTTCTAATGGCACTAACTAGCTGTGTGACCTTGGGGCAGGCAACTTTATTTCTCTAAGCTTCAATTTTATCAACTATAAAATGGGGATAGTAAAAGTGCTTCTCTTATAAGGATTAAATGAGATAACCCACTGTGTCAGGCAGTGGAGTAACCTAATCTCCAGTCTTAGTTAGCCCCCATATCTAGCAGTTGAAGATAGAAGTGGAAGATTTTCTTTGTAGGTCTAAATATAAATTCTCCTTTCTTTAATATTCAGTTATAAAGGATTGTACTTGCAGCCTTCCCTTGACACTTATATTGGAAACATCAGACTGAACTTTTTCTTCTATGCTGTCAAATTTAGCTCCCCAAACTATCAACAAAACAACCAATTGATAAGACATAACTGAGTTTATTCTTACCGCAGTAAGGAGGACTACCACCTCAACTGTAAGCTGTGTGTGTGTAGGAGGTGTCAACTCCTAGTGCTTTTCAAAAGACTAGTAAGTAACATTAATAGAAATATATCCAGGATTTTGAGATCACTCACCGCAGTAGACAGAGTTTTAGATAGAAGAGTATTATTTTGGTAACTCAGAAGGTAACTAGAACTTTCAACAGAAACCCCTCTCCTGGGTTTACTCACCATTTCCCACCATCCTTTCATCTCAGTTGAGTGCCAGGAATCTTGTGAGAAGGCAGAATTAGAAACGCTCATTCTCTTGCCTGAAACCTCAAGTGGCTTCGGGGACATAAGATCCCCCGTTAAATGACACAGAAAAGTTACCTTTCAGATTTAGACAGATGCTGCACCTTGGAGAAGGGACACTTCTGAATTTAATCTTCCATAGTCAGCATGTTCCGTGTTAAGAAATAATTATCCTGACGTGATAAAAGAGGGACTTTATCCAGGACTATTGTAATGGGTACATTACACTAAAGGAGAGAGACTGCACTAGACTCCAAATACAATAAGGACAAGTGGATGGAAAATTGCTAAGAGAAGACATCAAGGTGGGAGGATTGTTGCTAAACCTACTTACAGGATTCTTGCTGAAGATAGGCCAGGGCTTCATCAGATATCAAAAGGTGGGGGAATTTTCTCTAAACTGACTTAGCAGGAACTCTTGCCAAGTTTATTCTTAACCCAATTAGGAAGGGCACTACTTTGACAGAGTTAACATTAAAGAATAATTTCTTCCTAGAGGGGAAATGATGAACCACAAACTAGGGCACCCAGGGAGATTGCTGGGTCTCCCTGGGCAGGTGGGAGGCATGATTAAATGCCAAAGGCATTCTCATCTGTAAAACTCTTAGGGAAGTATTTTGTGGAGACAGGAGAGAAATGAAGATGGTCTTTCAATGGCCCTTCAAATGTATGGAGCTTTCTCATTCAAAACGGAAAGAATTTTATCTATCTATCTATCTATCTATCTATCTATCTATCTATCTATCATCTATCTATCTATCTATCTATCTATCTATCTATCTATCTATCAAAGTAAATGTTCTAGGGGAACATTTCTCGTTCTAGGGGAAGAAATAAGCTCCTTGGGATGTGATTGCTGCTCCAGAACACACAAGTTGACGGAAAACCCTGGAACCCACGCACCTGAGCACTACAAGTCCCCTAAAGCACCGCGGTGAGGGCGGGACTTGCTGACCGTTATGACGTGATGGGCGGGGTCAGACAGGACAGCGCGTCCCTGGCTTTTTAGCCCCGCCTCTGTCCCCGTCTGTGCCCTGTTGCTGTTGCGCTGCCGCTGGCTGCAGCCCCTGGTGAGTCTCTGGCGCGAAGGCGGGCAACTAGGGACAGTTGGGCCCTCAGGTTCTCCGCCTTCACACTTCCAGTCCTGAGAAAGGGCCATGGGCGGGCGGAGGTGCGGCTGGTTTCGGTTTTCACCTCCTTTCATCTTTCTGGGGTGACCGTAAGTGGGAGTGACGTCATGGGCCCCCTGGAGCCTCTCCGCGGCCTTTGGAGGGTTGAGGGCAGTTTTCTGCCAAGGAGGGCAGGGCTTCAGTGCCCGGGGCCGCGTGGGCGGTCCCTGGGACAGAAGGAATCCTCTGACCCGAGTGAGGGTCTTGAAGTCACGGCGTCATGCCCCCCCACGCCGGCCGAGGTCGTGCTGGCTCCTTAATTCCGGTGCTTGACGTCATCGTCATCGCGGTCGACTTGGTGGCAGAAGCGGGACCGTGCCCAGTGACCCTAGGCAAGTTACTTTCTCTTTGGGTCTCAGTTTCCTCGTCCTGATCACTGAAGCCCCTTCGTTCAGTTGCCGTTTGTAATTGGAGGAGATGTTCTAGACAGCTGAGAAGAGAGAGCAGCTGGAGTGCGGTGACCTGCTTCTTTACCATCGATCTCCTGTAGCCTTTCCCCCCACAACACTCCTCCCAATTTAGCCCCAACATTAGTGGGGATAATGTTCCCACTTTTATTTATTGAGTTCAACCCTCCTGGACATTTAAACTTTCCTCTATCCCTCCGATTCTTTGCTTCTGACGTAAGCAAACAAGTAGCCATGGTTGGAGCGGAGTAGAATAATATAAAAGCTATATAACAACTACACTACTGCAAAAACCTTTAAAAGCAAAAGACTTTTATACAGTAGGCCTTTGTAGATTATGTAGATGATTAAGAAATGATTAAACAATATCCTTAATGATTAAGGAATATCCAGGTGACTCACTTTCACAGATGCTCTCAGAGGGCCTCTATCTGAAACTCTACCCTGTTGCATAAATGACATCTGTGGAGTGGAAAGGACTCTGAGAAGGGTAGTAAGAGTTATACAACCCTAACACATCCTGCGGACTTTGGAGTCAGTACAAATAAGGCTCTTCAAAATTTTGACTGCGCTTATTATTAATATAATACCATGCTTCCTCATTTTCTTATATGAAGACAGTTAAACTCTGTCTTCACTTCCTTTTTCCTTCACTTGGGATCATCATTATAGCCGGAAAGTTTCTTAGAGATTTTCTTGCCTGATCCATGCATTTTTACAGATGAGGAAACTGAGGTTTAAAAAGTAGTGTGACTTGGCCAAGATCTCAGAGCTAGTTAGTGGCAGAATTAATGGACCCAGGTCCCTTGGCTCCTAGCTTAGTTCCCTTTCTGCTGCACATCAAACACTGTCACTGCCCTTGTCACTTCAAGGGTTAGCATAATCACCCTCTTCACAGAAAAAGTATAAAATCTCAGTAAAGTAAAATGAAAGAAAATGGAGATGGAGTACACAGCTCTGAGCTTTTTGCAGTTTCTTCTGGTTGTTCAGAACTGTTTCTCTGTTTTTCCTTAGTACTTTGGGCACAATGATGTGGTATATGGGATGAAGACTGCTTAGAATAAGCTAGATAACAAATCCAAACAATTATTAGTGAATTAGGCAATAAAAGTCTCCTGGGGGTATAAAATTTACTTAAGTAACTCAAAGATTTTAGGTAAGGAACTAGAATGAACTTGGAAAATTTGGATTATAGCAAGTGGCTATAATAATCTGAGGTCCAGTGACTATGTATCTTTGCTTTTGGTCCCCATCTCAGGGCTATCTACACATCCATAGTAGCTATTTGTCAGTGTTCTCTAAAGGGTAGTTTTGTGGAAGCATCTCTTGCAGGGCCAGGGGGAATGGGATTCAAATCAGTCTATCCATTTTGCTAATTGCTAGTAGTTTAGACGGAGAAGGCAATGGCACCCCACTCCAGTACTCTTGCCTGAAAAATCCCATGGATGGAGGAGCCTGGTAGGCTGCAGTCCATGAAGTCGCTAAGAGTCAGACAGGACTGAGCGACTTAACTTTCACTTTTCTCTTTCATGCACTGGAGAAGGAAATGGCAACCCACTCCAGTGTTCTTGCCTGGAGAATCCCAGGGACGGGGAGCCTGGTGGGCTGCCGTCTATGGGGTCGCACAGAGTCGGACACGACTGAAGTGACTTAGCAGCAGCAGCAACAGCAGTAGTTCAGAAAGTTAAGTAAGCAGAAGGATAAAGGAATTGGGTTGAATGTGTGTTTTGTTTTTAACTGTTCCCAAATGAAAATTCGAACTGATTAGCATTTCTCTCTGGGCTTCAGATGTATTTGCTTTCTGTGAACTAATCCAGGGAAACTTATCTGTAGTCTTCATTTCTCATGAAACATGTGCCCACTGGTATAAAAGGCTAACAAAAATGTTGGACATTTGTGTGGTAGAATTTTAGTTGTTTTTTTTTTTTTTAAATAAGATTATTCTTCCTGATTTAGCATAATGAAAATTCTTTAGGAAAATTGGTAAGATGATTTGGTTGAATATTTGCATTGTTAGAACCTAATCAGAAAGTTTAAAACATTTTTTGATTTTTCTGCTAAAAAGTGTTATCGGTGTAGTTTACAGATTCATTCAGAAAGAGCAGGAGTAGAACTGTCTTTTCTGTTCCTTTTCTTCAGGAGAATATAAGAGAATCTATGCCCTCATGGAACAGTCCTAGGAGAGGTATATTAGTCTTGAGATGCTCGTTAGATGAAAATGCGTCAGGTTTTCTTAGAAGCCAGGAGCCAGTTCAGGAGACTCATTTTAAAATACATTGCCTTCCTCCTCTGAGGACCTTAATCATTTCTGAAACTGAGATGAAAAAAAAAAAAAAGTAACTATGTCAGAGTCCCATCTATTGGCCTTGAAATCAAAAAGCTTGCTCCTTGGAATAAAAGCTATAACAAACCTAGGCAACATACTAAAAAGCAGAGACATCACTTTGTTGACAAAGGTTCATATAGTCAAAGCTATGATTTTTCCAGTAGTCGTGCAGATGTGAAAGTTGGACCATAAAGAAGGCTTAGCACCAAAAAATTGATGCTTTCAAACTGTGGTGCTGGAGAGGACTCTTGAGAGTTGAGTCCCTTGGACTTCAGGGAGATCAAACCAGTCAATCCTAAAGGAAATCAATGCTGAATACTCATTGGAAAGACTGAAGCTGAAGCTCCAATACTTTGGCCACCTGATGCAAAGAGCCAACTCACTGGAAAAGATGACGCTGGGAAAGATTGAGGGCAGGAGGAGAAGGGGGCGACAGAGGATGAGTTGGTTGGATGACATCACTGACTCAGTGGGCATGAATTTGAGCAAACTCTGGGAGATAGTGAAGGATAGGGAAGCCTGGTATGCTGCAGTCCATGGGGTCACAATGAGTCAGACACGACTTAGTGATTGAACAACAGCAAAGATTCCATTGGATATACACTCAAGCCTCAGAGCATGAGCTCTGTCATGTCATTTTGTGTACATATGCTGTCATTTCTTCAGTGTTCTGTTCTGAGCTAACTTACAGATTGATTGTTTTTCTAGTAAAGAAAGAGAGGCAGTACCAAACTCCCCTACCCTTGACTGGTCCTGCTTTTCAGAGTAGCATACATTTGCAAAAACAGCATGCCAGAGTTTGAGAGTGTGCAAGGCAGGTAATGGAGTGTGAATTTTATGGGTCCTTAAGGAAATCAGATCTGTGCCTTTTATTTTTTTGGCACCACGCCACTTGAACCAGCTCTGCCTGCTGAACCAGCTATACCAAGAACTGACATAACACTTGGAGATTTTCATCTCTTTACCCTACTTTTTTATTTTTTTGGCCTCATCGTGTGGCATATAGGATCTCAGTTCCCCAACCAGAGATTGAATCCCGACCATAGCAGTAAAAGCCCAGAATCCTAACCACTTAGCCACCAGCAACTTGCTCCTCACCCTATTTTAGAAAAGAGAAAACTGAGAAACAGCAGCTTCTCCAAAGACACCGAACAAATTAGGAGCAGGGCTAAAGACAAGAATTAGCACCACCCATCATACACACCACTGTTTACCTACAAAGCTCCTTCCTTTCACTTTTTGAGGAATTACATGCGTATCTTATTCATTCATTTATTCTGTGAGTACTTAGTTAGTGATTACTATGGGCTAGCATTAGTGTTGTATATACAGTTATGATAGTGTTATGAAGGAAAAGAACAGAGAGTATGATGGTACTTAGGTTAATTGAGAGACAGGGCCTGAAATCACTCTTACCTGAGGTATTGATAATTATCCATGGTAAAGCAGAGATCAAGTCACATTCTCGGATAAATGGTGCTCCAGGCTTAGGACCCAGGGGCTGTGCTGGCCCCAGTGGACTGAAGACCACTGGGAAAGACAGTGAAAAATCTCCCTACCCATCCTTCTGCAGCATTTATCAGGTCAGCAGGCCACAGCTTATCAGGAGGAACAAGTACTGGCCTAGACTGGAATATGACCTTTCCTTAGAGAAACTGATCTGAGCTTTGACATTGAGGATATGCCAAACTGTGTCACAAACCAGAAAGCCAATACATTTCTTAGCTCCTAGTTCAGTCCCAAGAACAGACAGTTGAGTACCTCAAAGTCTTCTTGCCTTCTCTGTGAAAAAACTTACTTCTGGGGAGCTGGAAGAGGAGGCCTGTTGCTTAGAGTTCAAAATAAAACCAGGAAATAAGTGGGTGGGGCAGAGCCAGAAGAGCTCCTGTGTTTTTTGGT